TTCCCTCTTAATCACTTCCAATACATGTGCAGAGTGCTCAAAGTCAATCAGTGAGGACAAACGAGACCTCAAGGATTTCTGGGCTAGTGTTTTCAACACACTAGCTACGATCCCACAGGAAGTGACCGTAGCGCCACAGAGCTCCAGAGCAGTGAGGGACCTCCAATGGGGTCATCAAGTCCATTCTCCAGCCTCAGGCTTCACAGAAGGATCCCAGCTCCTCCCAAGCCCATGCCTTTAATAATCTCCTTGTGTCTGAATCCAGGACCCCAAGCCAAATCTCCCCTGCCTCATCAACGCTATCATTAAGAGGACGCCACGTTCAATCCCATGGCCTCGAAGCAGACTCAGCTGGCGAAGCAAAGGTCAGTAAACAGCATTCCCAGGAGCTACACTACGGAAGCACACACCAGTCCCAGATCACAATGTCAGAAAAATCGCCTTCCCTGCCAACAATATTTCCAAGAGCTATTGAGCCCTCACCTGTGGACAAGAGAAAATCACTCTCCCCCAGCTACCCTTTGGTCCCAAGAAAGAAGGGCCCCCTCTGAGGCACTAGAGGAATCTACCCCGCTGAGAAACAGTAAATGCCCAATGCTTTCCTGTTTCTCCTTTTCCAGCTACAGACCTGCAGAGGCCCCAGCTTGTAAATAAAACATCTTCCAGGAGGCCCGAAATCCTCCCCAGGAACATCACCATTGGGCTGTGTATGATGCTGCTTTATTGGTACAAGAGCCATCTGCCTAAAATAACCTTACCAATAAGGTCCCCTAGGCTGGGTCACAGGAAGGCCCAGTTTATACCCAGTTTCTACTTCTTGTTTGGCCAACAGTATATCCATGGATGAAATCCTGGTGCGAGATCCCTCCTGCATTCTGAACACAGAGGAGGACTTCCTCCAGGGTCAAAGAGTACCCAACATGTGAGGCATAAATCCTTGCAAGGAACAAACAGTAGAGGGCTTACCTTGGGCTTCACCACCTTCATGAATGCCCCTCTGACCAAAGCTTCCTCTCGTTCTTGTTTGGTTACTTTACGAGCATCCAGAAACTTCAAATTGGGCAGCTTGTGCAGAACAAAGCATCTGGAAGAGAACAGTCAGAGGTAACTCAGGAAGACTGGGGTGACAGCCTCAAGCTTTCATGAAATTTGTCTGATGAGCAGGAAACCACGCCATTAGGTCTTCAGAAGTTTAGACCTTGGTTCCTGCCTCTCCTCTCTTCTTTCACAAAGAATGAATAACCACTCTTTGGGGAAATCCAAATGGTTCTATTTTACACAGATACACAACTAAACTTTCAAAATATACACCAATGGTTGCTCTTGACTCAAAGGTAGATACACACACACACACACACACACACACACACACACACACACACACCTGGATTAGCCAGTAAGATCCTATCAACGTGCTTACCTTCTACCATTCTGAAAAATGGACCCAACATCTTTGCTACACAAGAAGTTCTCAGTGAAAATAACCTACAACCTGATCATACCATTAATGTCACTGCCATTCCTATGGGTCATCTGGATCATTCTCATCTCTGAGATAACAGCAAGTCTTCATTTTGAAGCTGAGACAAGAAACTTTAAGTTGCCATCAAGATAATAATAATAACCTGGACAACTTTGGGATAGCAGTAAGAAACACATAGCTGAGAAACGCTCCCTTGAGGAATCAAACAGGGGTCTTGAGGACTTTTTTCTCATCATCACTGAGTTACTTCTACACTGGCACTATGAAGATTATCTCCATCAAGGAGAAACAAGGAGAGTTGGTTTCTAGGGGATATTAATAGCCCCCAAAATGCTATATGGTCTCCATCCCCCTGCAAAGAGTCTTTGGGATCCATTACGGCCTCCAAGGATAACCCAATGACTGACCTCTTGTGTGATGAACTATCAAGCAGGTGTATGGAGTTGACAAGAAGACTTGCCTGGCCAGGAGACAGGTACATAAACGTATAAATAGATATATAAAAGATATAGACACCTGCCTATATGTCTCCTTCCTCAATGGTAGTCACCAACCCAGATGCTCTCCCCCATACTCCATCAATCAAAGGAGCAATTGTTTAGACCCTGTCCTGCTTAGGAAGAAGAGTTGAGGACCCAACGTCAAGAGCAATAAATCATTTCCATGGGAATCTGACTTTTTCTCCTTGTACCCAGCCTCCTCCGTACCCACTCATCTTCCAAATCCCAACCCGCAGGAAGTTTTCTCCTGCACCCGCAGCCCGCATTGCTTTCTCCCTTCTCAACACTCCCAGGAGGCATTTTCAGCACCCTGCAATTTAACATTTTATTGTTTTTTTGCGGTACGCGGGCCTCTCACTGTTGTGGCCTCTCCCGTTGCGGAGCACAGGCTCCGGACGCGCAGGCTCAGCGGCCATGGCTCACGGGCCCAGCCGCTCCACGGCATGTGGGATATTCCCGGACCGGGGCACGAACCCGTGTCCCCTGCATCGGCAGGCGGACTCTCAACCACTGTGCCACCAGGGAAGCCCCCATTTTATTGTTTTTTAATTGCTTGGCTGGTGTTCAGTTAATGTCCTCACCTAAACTATGAGCTTTCTGAAGGCAGGGACCAGGTTTTTTTTTTTCCCTCACCCTCACACCATTTAGGAAAGTAGCATTAGAACGGACTCCATAAAATACCAGTTCATTTCAGTTGCACAAATATTTCTTAAGCACCTACTACGTGCCAGACCCTAGGTATACAGAGGTGATTAAAACATGGTTCCCGCTCTTAAAAGGGGGTCTTAGTGTAATGAGGAAGAAAGACTCACCCAAAGAAATTAGAAATCAGCATAGGTAAGTGCCAAGTTTGAGGTTATACACAAAGTAGCTCTGGGAGCACAAAGAAAGAGGAACAGGAAATCTCAAGAAGGCTTCAAAGATCCAAAGCCCTGAAGCAGCCCAAGCCCTGAGCTTTTTCTCAGTGCACATGTTACTCGGGGTGTGTAGCAGGCCTCCCTCCTCAGCAAAGCCTTGGGTTCCCAAGGCCAGCTTCCCCATTCATCAGGTGGTCTCACATCACCCCACGGCCTCGCATATGCTTGTCCAGGTAAAAGATTTAGCTGATCACTCGGGTGCCAGAGACAACAGCCTTAGAGGCCTCTGATCACAGCCTTCATATTACTCTTTTTTAAAGTCAAAATACTCTAAATTCTCTTGCGTATCCTCTTCCTCCCCTGAAACTTCCACACCAACATCTGAGGTCCTGGAAATTTGACGATCTACTTCCTGCTTCCTCCCTGGCCTCAAACTACGCACTACCTTCTTTCCTGCTTCTCCCTGAGCATTTCCCTCTCCAAATGCCGCCTAAGTTTACCCTAAATTGGAAAAGTTCTACAAAGGCCCAAATGACCTTTCTATCCTCCAGGAGAACTCCCACTGGCCTCAGTCAGTGTCAGAAAAAACTTCCATCTTCTGCTCGTAGCAGCAAAGTCTTGATGACAACAGATTCTTTCAAATAAAGACACGTACAGATGGAAACAATATGTCAGGAGTGACGCTCAAAGGAGTAAAGACACCCACTAAGTGTAGGGTGGGAAAAGATGAATATTCAGGGGAAGCAAACATCAGTATTAGAAAATCAGCCAATGTTTAATGATGGAATGAAAGATGTCTCCACAGGGCTGGCAGGAACCACGGTGACAACAGACAGCACGTTGTCATTTTGCCCCACTTTGGATCACAGCCCTGAAATCAAAGGAGAGAGAGAGAAGTGCTGGCTTTTAAGCTAGTTAAAAATTTTAGATGACAAAGAGCTGCTGCTTTCAGAGCACTCTTCTTTTAGAACCAAAGAAACACACATGGAATAGGCTGCCAGTCACCCCTGAAACTAGAGGTGACTTGACTCCCAACCTGTTGGCCAGCCTGGGGTTTCCAGGTGGTCGATGCTTAAAGATGTTTGAGAGGCACTAGGAAGGCTTGTCCCAGATAGTTCAGTCGGAAACTCAGCTCAGGGCCCAAAGTTCGTCTCTTAAGAGATGGCTTCTTTCATTTACTTACACATTCACTCACCCAACAAATAATTATTAAGAAGCTACCACCTGCCAGGAACTGCACTAGGTACTGAGAATAAGGTGATGCACAAAACAGACAAGGTCTCTACTCTCAACGAGCTTATATTCTAGCACAGTTGTTCTCAAACTTGAGAGGGCATCAGCATCCCCCAGATGCCTTGTTGAAACACACATCGCAGGGCCCCACCCCTAGAGTTTCTGATTCACTACATCTGGAATGTAGTCTCAAATTCACATCCTAGTAAGTTCCCAGGTGAGGCTGATGCTACTAGGCCTGCTGCGAACCACTGTCCAAGTGAAAATAACAGCACGAGGAACAACAGTTTTGGAATTATGAGGTTGGTAGGGCCACCAAGAGTCTCCTTCTCAGTTCTGCTAATGGTCTGTCCTGCTCCAATGTCTGTGGTACCCAGCGCCCAGACAGCAGTCACATCTACCAAACCTTCCTGTCCCGGGGTGGTGTGGAATTGGCTCCAAACATTACTGCCAAGAGATAAGTCCAGTGGGCTTTCTGTCTGCCTGTCCCATTCTGGTCTTGGGAGATCTATTTCCCTTTGTTCTAGGTCATGTCAGGGTGTCAAAAGCTGCAGCTTCAATCCTGAGTATAATACAAGTTTGCCATAAAAATACAAGAGAGGATTCCCGAAGCCACAGAATGAAGGCTTTTACAATATCAATTCAACCCTTGTAAATTTAATCCAGGGTTATTTGTTGCACCAAAATCTCTTTACTGTGATGTATTACTTAGTTACTGGGGTTATCACAGCCATATCCTAAAGTTGCACAGTACATAAAACATTTCAGTTAACAATGCGGGAAGGTTAACTCCCCCAGATAACCTGCAATCACCAGGGCTAGTCCAGATGACATGCCTCTGTCAGCTTCCACGAGCTATTGATGGTTCAATCAGTTTGTTTTGAAGGTAAAGTACAACAAAAGGGCAGTAAACTTATTCAGACTGTCAACAGGGGCTATCGGGAATGGGGCTTGCAGGTAAGTAATTCTGGGTGTTTTAAAGCTATTAGCAAACAGCAATGGTTGAAGGAAGAGACAGCTACTAAGAACACAGAAGGCAGCCATCATAAACCACTTTATGGCAGAAACCCCCGTCTATAAATCCTGCAGCACCCGGAGACAGCTTCAGATTTATAAAACTGCTTGTTAAGCCAGGGCACTGCTTAATGAAAGGAGATCCGTCTAAGTTCTAAGGCTCAGGTCCCCTGCTCCAGAGGGCAATGCCAACTTTCCTGACCTTCCCAAGGTGGCTGGGAGAAAGCCGCAGGGCTGGGAGGGGGAGGGAGTGAAATCAGGGGCCCTCCTGGCTGGGATACGGAAGGTGAGGTCATCAAGAGGAGACCAGGGACCCTGGGAAGGTGTTCAAAGACCCATCTGTCTCTGTCTGCAAACAGATTCTCCAGAAGTGAGAGCCCCACCCAGAGCTTTGCGGGTTCTCTCTCTTTTCATAGAGGATCCTCCACTTCCTGAAAGAACTTCTCTTAGGAAGTAACCGGTTACCTACAACTGGTAGGGGGGACAAAAGGAACAGCAGAAAGGCTTTTTTGTTTGTTTATTTATTTGCTCCCAAATCAATTTTCTCTACCGAAATCCCAAACCTCTGGCATTTTTCATCTAGACTTCAAAGGGAAGGGAGGATGCTCTTGTCTTCTGCCCACATCTGCTTCCCCAGGGAATCTGGCTGTTCCCCAGGCCCTCTGCACAACCACAGGAACACCAAGACAGATCTCCGATGTCTGCTCCTGAGGCTGGCTGCCATGTTTCATCCTCTGAGGAGACTCTACTCAAGAAACAGCAAATTTCCAGATCCTGAGGGAACCGGATGTGGCGTCACTGGGATTCCCCCCACTCCCTTCCTTTTACAACACTCAATCCTTCTTCCTATTTCTTCTTGCTGCCTTCCTGCTCCCGTGCATGGGAAGGGGGGAGACCTGGTGACTGGTGCCCCACCCGGGGACCCCGAGGGCAGCAAGGGGTGATCCATGAACTGCTCTCAAACTTTCACAAAGCTTAACAGAAAAGCGTGGACACT